GGCTCCGCCCGTGTTCCGAGATCCGCCATGCAAAGTATAGTGAAGTGTATCTCATCGTGATAAATCGTAGGACAACTAAAGCACAGAATAGAGAATGGACCAGAAGTGACACTCGACGAGTGCTGATGTGAAATACGCCATCATATGACGCCATCCTGGAGTGCACCACAGAAGTTTTTCATGGGTACAAACATAGGTACAAAGTGCTGTGTGCACTCCAGGATGGCTTCATAGCACATAAAAAATTTCGGACGTTTTTCCCGAGCCAAAACACATTACACATAGGAGTGTCCCTTCTGGTCTAGTATCTATTCTGTGACTAAAGCCTTCAGGCTGATTTCCATTCAGTGCAAAATATCGCAAGATCAACTTTTTGCGATCACTTTCTTTTGAAACACGTTCAGTCAACCTGACCACTGCGTTTGATTGCTTGTATTTCAGTAACCTGAGTATCAGGCCCTCGGTATTAGTATTTCAGAAAAAATTGATCGCAAAATGTCGATCGTGCGACATTTTGCACTGAGTGGAAATCTACCTTTATGGTGCGCAAGCGCTTATAAATTTTGGTACAACTGGCCTGAAACTTAACATATCGATTCAATAAATTTAACATCAATATATTTATTGAAAAATAGCTATTATGTCAAAATAACAAAACTTTTTCAAACTTTTCGCGACTGTTCATCTGTAGTTGCAAGGGACGGTAATATCAAGGTCAACAGGTCAAGGTTTTATCACTGATTGACTATTCGAAGTAAACAATGTTTTATATATTTTCCTACAAATTTAGCTTTATTCTGGCTTACTGAAAGTATAAAAAACCGTGGAAACCGTGAATTACTATAATGATTGAAAATAATTATTAAACTATGATCTCGACTATGATTGAAATTATCGAAGTAGAATGCTATTTCGTTGTATTAAATTTCAGTAGACAATAGTTCATGTTAATATTTACAAAATGTGATGTTGTTTTGAAATTTGAAGTTGTACACACAATATAATCAGTGCTAGCACAATGGCTTCGTTTCAATTTGGGCATATAAAAAATTAAAATTTTGACAGCGTTGCCTTTCACAAACATAAACGCCTGATAATGCCGATAATTGACCATTTGCGTAACAGACAAAATTTTGATCTAAACAAGTTTAGACAAAAATTTCATCACAGCTTAAAAGAGCATCACAAAATTAGTAATATTCCAAAGTTTCGTTGCGAAATGTTGTAAAATGCGGATAATATAGCTTTGCGAAGTTTGTAATTTTCAGTCATTTTAGATTACAAACGGGAAATTGACAGCCTCAAAGCGTATGAGGCTGTCAATTTCCCGTTTGTAATCTAAAATGCCTGAAAATTGCAAACTTCGCAAGGCTATATTATCCGCATTTTACAACATTTCGCAACGAAACTTTGGAATATTACTAATTTTGTGATGCTCTTTCAAGCTGTGATGAAATTTTTGTCTAGATCAAAATTTAGTCTATTACGCAAATGGTCAATTGATAAATAAATATCAGTGCCAGCACAACGGCACCAAAATAATAACAAATAACATAATATAAGCTAAATTAAAAACAACAAAGCTTTACCTACCTCGATCTATTTTTTTATTAAAGGCCTTAAATTCCGTAAAGAATATTTTCTTTGCGTTTCCTCGACGAAAGCCGTGAACAAAAGCGTGCATATTAAAGTTTCACTCATCACATGAAAATGCTCGTCGGACTGACTCGGTATTTGTCGTATTTTACGAATCTGTCACGTGGTTTACCACCGCCCGTACGCACACCGCGACACGAAATTTAGAGCTATATGAAAGTTGCATGCCCATATATGGGCATGCAACAATAAAAACCAAAAAAAAAAATCATTTACTAAATTAATACGTATCTATATTACAACCAATTTTCATCTTTTGGGATATGAATTACGAAATTATCAAAAAATTTAAAAATTACTTCTTTGCTTTTTTGGGGCATCTTGTTTACAACATGAAATTTAGAACAGTAACTAAAGTGTTCAAGTTCAACAAAGTGTGCAAGCCAAAACACAGTGTTTGTACATCTTTAAAGTTTTTTGATTGCTTCAAATATATTTAAAAGGACACATAGTGCTTAAATTTATTTATTTTAATATAAACCAAGGATGGGAAGGTGAGAAAATGGGAATTTTCTGAGGTGTTTTTAATAGAGACAATGACAGCCGACATTTTGAAAGGCACTCTGCGGTGACAAAACTAAAAGCTATTCACTTTTGTACTCAAAGCACTGAAAAGCATCATAAAGAGAAAAACACTTTAAACACATGTCAGGTAAGACTTTTAGCTCAATATTTTCATGCTTCTATTGGGAAAGCAACGGTTTAAAAGCCAAAATTATTTTGCGCGCCAATGTAGGCTGCTATAAAATGTTTGACAGGCGGTTTCTTTTGAAGTCTGGCTCTGAAAAACAATCTCATTTTTTGAGTTTGAAATAAGCCTTCATAAGGACTATTGTGTAGAAATGTTATCTATATCCTCACATGAAAAAGATAACCTAATATTCAGGTATTCCACATAGCTATAAAAGGGTGAAATAAGAACTTTCATCTTTGGTTGTTTGTCAGACGTGAGAAACCACATTAGTGCCATTTTGTCGCGCGTGCTATTTTATAAAATAAACACCTCAAAACCATAAACCTTTAGTTCAGAAAATTACAAAGTTTCCCATAGACATTATTAAAAATGTTCTAGTGAAGCGATTTCATGATAAATAAGGGAGCGATGGGCCCAAAAGAACTGCTAAGGTTAGTTTTTGTTAGGACTTCAATTTCATGGCTTCCCACAAAGGAAGCCATTTCAGGGAGAAGCAACATTTTGCAAACAACCATCGCGACCTATTTTGATAACTTTTCCTTCTGATTCAACGTGTAGTTACTACAAAATGATGTTGCATCAACGTTATTATCTGCTTTATCGATTTAAAGTTTTATAGGGGATATAAAAAAACAGTAAAAATGCATTTTGAAAGCTTTACAATTCAAGTGCGGACTTTTTTAATATTCGCACGCGGCAAGCAAGCGCGTTTATTCAATACACTTATTTTAAACCACAATATGTCTGAAACGAGTTGTCATTTTAACACTTTAATTGATGAAAATAGATATAACGGTGATTTTGGAATATCCTACTTATTTAGTGTAATTTAATACTCGAAGTATTCTTGCCAAAAAGGTCAAAAAGATCACATACGCACACAGTAAGTGTCGTTTGAAATATACTATAGCTAAAATAACAACTTGAACAAGAAGACCAACAATGGGGTCACGAAAACAGTCAAAGTTGCGCCCAAATTTGCATAAACAGTTCGTCTAAAAAGATAACTTTAAACTAGATTCAACCAACATTAATGCGGTCGAATTTTGTGAGTGTTTGATCGCATATTTCTACTCAAAAATACCCTTTAAAAATCGTATCTGCTCACTTGAGTTCCGTGTTCATCTTTCTTGTGATTTCCGACTTCTATTTTTAATAAAGTTTGGAGAAATCCTCATCTTTTTGGCTGAAAATCTCGCGCATGGTTCACAGAAGAACTTGGCCCAAAACGTCAATACATTCGCTTTCCTTTCATGCCAAATTTTCGTTGTAAATCATTCAAAAACGTCTTCTTTTTTCTCTTTTAAAACTTGCTGTGAAATCTTTCTTTGCAACAATATCGCCATTATTCATTATTTTCGAAAAACTAAGGTTTTAAACTTGAAAAACTTTGCGAGTTTTTGGCCGATTTTCTTGCATGATACACCGTTGAAAAGCTCAAATTTCGCGTTCTATTTTCGTATCCGTTGCTAGGCAACCCGATAAACACGTGCTCAAATATCATGCCCGCAAGTTGAGGTGTCATTTGAGGGCGTATGCGGGCGCATTGCCAGTTAGTGAATTTGCTCATCAGCGAAAGATTTGTTGTGTACAAGACATCCTTTTAGGCCATGATTTTACAGTGCGTCTACAGTAGGTGGGGCCACTTAGAGAACACTAACCAATCACATTGCAGAAAAATAGAAAAAATCAACATTGTCAAACAGCGCATTATAAGCCAATCAGCATTATAGGCCAAAAACAATTTTAACAAATAAACGAATGTCAAACGGTAAAAATAGACTTGAAAAGTATAAACACTGCAGTTACTGGCTTCCTGAAGCGAACTTCGTGCTTTCTTTTGATTGGACGAGCTGTAGTTTGATTGGTTAGTGTTCTCAAAGTGGCTCCACTTACTTTAGACGCACTGTAATAATTAACACAACCACAGTTGAATGGAGACGATTAGTCAAATATTTTGTACTATTGTTCGACTATTATCACCAACCTCGTACCCAGGGACTTTCCTCTTGGAGAACAAAGACGCTGGTCACGTGATCTGCTAAAATCTAGCAGATTTTTAATTAGCAATCCAAGATCAGGTCAATAAACATTTGATTATATGGATTATTTTGATAGTTTAATTTATAATTTGCATTTTGTATGATTGTCGTAAAGAAAACCAAGATAGACTAGAAATCTGCTAGATTTTAGCAGATCACGTGACCAGCGTCTACCAGGGTCTTTGCTTCCCAAGAGGAAAGACCCTGGGTACGAGCTAGGTTGTATTATCACTTGCAGTTGCGCATAGGGAATTTGATACAAGTTTTCCAACTTGGAATTGTACAGTACACCCTTTCAGAAAGTATGTCATATTGGCTAGAGCCTCATTTTTGTGCATACATGTGATGACTAAAACAAGGCTCTTATAGCCAAAGTGACATTCTTTATAAGGTGCATATTACTTCTGATAATATAGTAATATGTACGAGCTAGGTTGTCCAAAGGGGATATAGGGGTTACATTTTCCATTACTTCCAAGGAAAGACGTTTTTGTTTGATTGTAACACCCTAATCATCCCGCTTGAGATGAGGAATTTTTCATTGAACTGTTCAATGTTGGGATAATATGAAACTAGCTAGTTTAACCTTACTGTACTATCTGTTTTGTAAAGACGTCGGTATGCAAAGAAATTTTGAGAAAACTGGGACATGACGAAAAATCCGCTTCAAAGAATCAGGACATCTTAATATTGTGTCAAAGTAACTTTTACAAAGTGGACGATAATCTGTCAAACAAAGAGGAGGACGAGGACCTAGAATTAAACTATGATCACCCAGGTTCGTACATTACGATTGTGTTAGGGTTTCGGAGTGCCATTCCAGGCATAAGCCTGGGGTAACTGCGTGGGTATACTCATTCTGCCCAGCTATTTACACTTGGGAAAAGGAATTATTTACACTTGGCTACGCTTTAAGGTGTATGGGTGGTATTGATAGGCGGTCATCTCTCTGATCTCAATAATATGGAAGGAGTGGAAGCACCTTTAGGTTTAAATAGATGTATAAAATTTACACCGCTCGACTGAATTCAATCTACAACTTACACCCTTCAACCTTTTTTGTACACGCTCATGTATTTTCAGAATTAACCAATCACAAAGGCTGTTCCTACAGGTGTAGCCGTATAGGGTGACCCTGCTGCATAGGGTTCGACTGTTTTGTTTTCCCTTTTTGAACAAAAGTTTCTTAAAATATCTTTGTAACATCGGTTGTTGTTATTCATTTGTTAGACGCTTTTGATGATGAACTCATAAAGAACACTTTGTCGAAACTAAAGCAAGGTCAGACAGTCGAAACTCCTGTTTATGATTCAAAAACATACTCCAGGTTTGTATACATTACCATATAGACAATAGTGCAACTCCATATTGTAATAAATGAAAACAATTTTTAAGATAAATTGTTGCAAGAAACCTTAGGCGTAGACGTAATTAAATGAAAGTATATGCAAAACAGCAAAGAGCTTGAAATAATAGAGAGTTTAAGATCTACGACGCGGTCTGAATTTCAGCTAAAAAATGAACGCTAAGCAATTTCATTACTGTAATAAATGTTTGACGATTTTCAAATAACATTACAAACTGCTAAGTTTGACTAAAGCGATGCAATGTTTGCTGTAATTTTGACTTGAAGTATCACCTTTTGGGTCGAAATAAGCTTCGCGTTGCTTGAAAGACGTGATAATGCTTAGTTTAACGTTCTGCTGAGTATGACAAAGCCGTTGAGAATACCCCTGGGACCACAAATTATTCACAGTTTTTGTCTTGGATGACAAATTTCTTTCTTTCGCATGCGCGTCGTCGAGCCGGCCGCGTCGTAGATCTTAAACTCTCTAATGTTCAAAAATTGTCCGGAAAATATTTTGTTGGAAATTTAAAATTTGGATGGATTTTTTTATTTAATGGTAAATCATTTGTTAATAAATATTAATTTATGCCAAACACGATACAATCAGTAATTTTATACAGTATATAGTTAAAAAACCAGGGGTCGGTTGTTCAAAGCTGGATTCTCGCTAACCCTCGGTTGAAATTTAACTCGCTTATTTGGTTTGTGTATTTCTGCGCATGTCTGTTTATTTCATTCGAAGATTTCCAGAAAATATTTCCATGTTAATGAACGAGCTGTTATAATAATTAATAACCTAAATTTCGAAAACTACCTAAATCTATAATACATCGAATACTTAATTAATTTACTGTTATAAAGTTTTGAAATTCCTCAGTGTTTGTTTTTAATGTACAATTTGATTCGGACCTACGATTATAGTTGTGAGCTGCTGAGTTGGCTTGACTTGCCACAACATCTTTAAGAGGATTAATTACACTATTACCAAGCTTTTAATAATTTTTTAATGAATTGTTCACAAGAATTGTGTCTCATATGCTTAACATCTCCAATCCTGTATGATCTAATGCATTGTGACACGACATTTCAGGAAGAATGATGCGCAAAACTCAAGATTTTCTGGTTTGATGTAATAATGTCAGACTTGTCTTAAATTGTGTATACAGTATGCTCACTTGGATAATCCCCAAACCCAATGCACCTTATCACAACCCGCACACCTGAAACTTTTAGTAACTTGTTTTGAAGATTTTTGTCCCCATGCTTAGTTCTTGAGATATTTCATTTTGTGTGTAACCATGTGACGTCATTTACTCAATTACATATATAATGGTATCAGTAATTGTTGTGTATCTTTGCTATTTTTTATCAAAATCTTTCCAAAGATGCCACAAGTTTGTTAATTTAACCTACATCATTAAGCATACTGTTTAACCTAGATCATTAAACAAATCCATCAAAAATAGCGAAGATACGCAACAATTACTGATATCTCATTATATATGTAATTGAGTAAATGACGTCACATGGTTACAAACAAAATGAAATATCTCAAGAACTACTGTATAAGCATGGAAACAAAAATTTTCAAAACAAGTTATAAAATAACATGTATATAACGCGTATTCTGATTGGTCGAAAGCCGTGTTTGGATCAGGCCATCCAAACACGGAAGACTACCGTGTTGTTGTTATTTTATAAAACAATTACTTTATGGTTTCCGTGTTTGGATGGACTGATCCAAACACTTGGGAATGTTGCTCGAGTTAAGAAAAGCGGGCAAAATCACTCGCCTTCGGCTCGTGATTTCGCTCGCTTTTCTTAACTCTCGCTCGCTTTTCTTAACTCTCGCAACATTCCCGCGTGTTTGGATCAGGCCATCCAAACACGGAAACCATAAAGTAATTGTATATTAATATACAGTTTTAAGACCATTTTCGTTTACGCGAGTGTCACATTAAATTGTGTGTGTATATGCTCACTAATGCTCACTTGGATTCTTTATAAGAATACTAATTAGGATGAACAATTATTTAATGCCACATGTGTTTTATCAGATATAAAGTCACTCCACGTGACATATTATGGCTGACATGATTTGCCACAAGATTTATGAATTATTAATGAGTATTTTAAGCCATTCAAAACACTCGAAGTCCGTGCTTTATCAGTTATAAAACACTCGAACTGCGCTCTCGTGTTTTATATCTGATAAAGCACTGAATCAGGTTCCTGCTCGTGTTTTAAATAGTACATGACGTCCGAAACTACATATTAGACAGATTTAGAAAAGACGACGCGACCTCAAAGACGGCGTGGATGTCGTCATTTGGCGCCAACTATCGGCAACTTCTGGTTTGCCACGTCGTCTTGGACGATTTCACGACGCGAAAATGCAATTTTCACGTCCTCTCTAGAACGTCACAGATTTATGCTTTTTTTGAAAAAATATGAGAGTATGCATAATAAAAATCATCCTATTTTGTTCCCTATGTATTGTTTAATGATTCTAGTTGAAGGTTTTTCATTGACAACGTTGTTTTTCTTGTATTTCGCTAAATTTTGGACGTGTTGATTTTTGACAAATACTTTCGGTCGCCATAACAAATCAACAAGACTGCAAGCATTGTTAAGAATAATAAAAAAAAACACTTCAATACCGCTAGTATTCTTCACCAAAACAAACATTTTACAAGAAACTGAACTGAGGTTATATTAACAACTGTTTAAAATCAGGAAAACTTGGGAAGGTAGAAGAATAAAAGCACTTACAAGCAGTAAAAACTAAATCAATTTTAGTTGCTCTGTCACAACAGTGCAAAAAGTAGGACAAGTAAAAATCGCTTTCCAGCGTGAAAAACTATCATAAACAGTATTAAATTTTACCAATATAAACACTGATACCATGTTTATACTGAACAGTTGACAAACTTGATTGAATAGGCTACAAACTAAAGCATTTAGCTCGTAAACAATACCTGCAGTTATTGTATTTATTCCAAATGATGCAACAATTGAAAGTTCACATTTCAAAATACCGAAATATACGTCTTTTTCTAAAAAATACTTATTGAATATCCGTACTAATTCATCAGGAAACGCTTGGCAGTTTTATAAATCCTTTTCTTGCACGTATCTTGACAACTGATTGAAAACAATACAGGAATGAGCAAGAAACAAGAAAACAAAAATTTGCTTCGAAAAAGACAAACAAGCCGTCCCAGATTAAAAACCCGGAAGTGAACGCGAGGTCATTTTCACGTTGTCTTTGAGCTCGCGTCTTCTTTTCTAAATCTGTCTATTGCTAACATTTCACTTTCACCTTTTAACAGGAAACCGCAGTTTGTGACAACATATCCGCCAAAAGTAATTCTTTTCGAGGGCATCCTGGTTTTATATCACAAAGAAATTCGAGATTTGCTGGATATGAAACTGTTTGTCGACTGTGACTCTGATACAAGACTTTCACGGCGAGGTATGATCATTAATTTCTAAATAGTAATGAATTATTCGTCAATAGCGATCGCCAACATCCTACGCAGAACCATAAAAGTAACTGACCAGTTACGTTTAATGACCCTGCATGCGTACGGAAGCCATAGATATCTTATATACACTAGATAGCGCATCTCGTTTAGTAAAATTGAAGCCAAGAATATTCCAGCGGTTACCCCCATTTGAATAGATGGCGGCCATGTTGGAGTCAGTTCTCACTCGCTAATAAACGCTTAAAAAACAACGATAACTTTCGTCATTTGAATAGTTTGAAAATGTATTTGGAATAGGTTTAACTTAATGTTTGAGTTCCCTGTTTAAGAAATAGAAAACATACGAGTCTTCTCATTTCATGGGAATATCCTGAGTCTGCAATTACGGCTTCAATTTCTGAATTGCAGAATAATTAGATGCACTATCTAGTGTATATAAGATATCTGTGACGGAAGCTTGTAGCGGCCAGGCCTTAATAAATATCGGTCGGTCACGGAAATTGTCCAACCCATTCGTGAAATTGTCCGACGTAAAGAGGAAACCACCGGACATTCTGTCCAAGCTAAGTGAGATTAAGCGAGCCAGCCCGAGATCTCGGGTCAGTCGAGGCGGGATCTCGCCTTAACCGGGCCAGCTCGGATACCCGGGCTGAGCCAGCCCCATATAAACTGCACCTAAGAAAATGTTTCTAAACACCAACTTGCGGGCTTTTGTGATATTTCGTAAATACCTCAAAAGTAGTCAACGTCTCGATACTTTTTTGTTGAAAAGATGCTGAATTATCATGTTTTTTGACCATATGTCCACAACAATCGCCACACCCGGGGTATTTTGGCAAAAAGTATTTTTCCTGACCGTAGACTAGTTAGTCTGTTTTATGATTGGATGATTTCCAGAAATTTGCGAGGCAAGTTGCAGTGGAAAAGTTGCAACGCCTCGCATATCATCACTAAAAGCTCTTGTTCAACTTTCTCTGCAACTGGCAGGTCAATCTTTCATTGTCGCATGCCAGTTGTTACAGAACTGCCGTCAAGTTTTAACAAGGTTGTCAAGCCGATATCAGGATGTGTTCGCACTGCTTGTTCCCAGTTGTTGTGGCAAGTCTGGAACAAGCTGTTATCACCTTGTTACACGGTTGATGATAGTAACAAACTTGTTCCAATAAGACTAGTACAGGCTGTTCGTAACAATTTGCTACGAGCTTGTTGTCATCAACTTGTTACGTGCAGACGATATCACACTTGTTGGAACAACTTGTTGGAACAACTTGTTAGAACAACTTGTTAGAACGACTTGTTAGAACAACTTGTTAGAACAACTTGTTAGAACAACTTGTTAGAACAACTTGTTAGAACAACTTGTTAGAACAACTTGTTAGAACAACTTGTTAGAACAACTTGTTAGAACAACTTGTTAGAACGACTTGTTAGAACGACTTGTTAGAACAACTTGTTAGAACAACTTGTTAGAACAACTTGTTAGAACAACTTGTTAGAACAACTTGTTAGAACAACTTGTTTGAACAACTTGTTAGAACAACTTGTTAGAACAACTTGTTAGAACAACTTGTTAGAACGACTTGTTAGAACAACTTGTTAGAACAACTTGTTAGAACAACTTGTTAGAACAACTTGTTAGAACAACTTGTTTGAACAACTTGTTTGAACAACCTGTTGGAACAACCTGTTGGAACAACCTGTTAGAACAACTTGTTAGAACGACTTGTTAGAACAACTTGTTAGAGCAACTTGTTAGAACAACTTGTTTGAACAACGTTTTGGAACAACCTGTTAGAACAACTTGTTAGAACAACTTGTTAGAACAACTTGTTAGAACAACTTGTTAGAACAACTTGTTGGAACAACTTGTTGGAACAACTTGTTGCGGGTCTGTTAGCCTCGTCAACCTTGTTACAAGATGACGACTTGTTCCATGCAGACTTACCAACAACGGGGAACAAGCAGTGCGAACACATCGTGTTGACACGCGCGTGCAAGTGTGTTACGCCATGCAATATTGCTTTAAATTTGCAATGCTTATAACCCTGTTCTGTTACAAATTGTAGAAAAAATGCCTGGTCCGACATGGCCCTGATCGTAAATTTTTTGTATTTGCAGTTTTAAAAGACACACAAGAACATGGTCGAGATCTCGATACTGTATTAAGTACTTATACAGAACTTGTGAAACCAGCATTTGAAGAGTTCTGCTTGCCGGTATGTAGTCAGTGGTAACAAGTTCTTTGATATTTCACATAATATGCCGATACAGGTATTAACAGACCTTTTTGTGACGACGTAATTAGTTTGTTCGTTCACTGCAACCAGGTATATCAATCATGTTTCGCTTGCTACTCTGGTTTAAATAAATGATTACAAAGCCCAGTCGAATTGTAATCACGACCCAACGTTTCGACACTCGAGTCTAGTGTTTTCATCAGGGGTGATAGTTAAACATTTGATTCGTTTTAACACAAGGCACAACTTTATTAGGATAAGATTAATATTTATTGTATAGATGCTAACTCATCATATATTTAACATAATTTATCATGGTTAGAGGACAACGAGTTTATCAGTATTACTGTCAGGTGTAATTCTCTTAAATAAAGTTGCCATACTATATAACGGGGGGTGAATAGGGGTATACAAATACGCCGATCCGCCCAAATTTGAAGCAAAATCCGCGATCCGACAATGGTCTTCTCTAAATTTGAATCCGCTAAAAGCTCTACTATGAAGTCACAATCCAGGATCCGAACTAAATTGCAAGCTAAATCCACAATCCGAGCCAAAATATAAGATAAATCCGCAATCCGCTGTATTAATAAGATCCGCAAATCCGTGTAAAATATTCGCCAGATCCGAAATCCGAACAATTTTTTCTGTGAAATCCGACGATCCGAAAACCTATTCACCCCCCTCCCCCCTAACTGTTGGACGTCAGTTCCATTCCCTTTTATAGTGTTTTTGTCTGCGCGGTCAACACAAAGCTGCAACGCGTGTGCCGAAATTTCGTATTTTGACCTCGATTTAAAGAATAATACTATGGTTTTATGAACCGATAACTTGTCTAGCGATACGATCAGTTAGAAAAACCTGGAATTAGGGACGGGTCATAAAGTAACTGCTAGGGTGGGCTGGAGGTAAATGACAAATTTTCCCAATAAGTTCGGTGACCCATCTTAAGATGTAGATAAAAATTTCAAAGCCCATCTAATCTTACAAAAAAATTTCATGACCCACCCAATCTAAATTGGGAAAATACACTTTTATAATAAAAAAAACTTGCAGGTATGAACTTTGTAAAGTACCAAGCTTTGACCAACACATTCATCACTGTGATTCGACCAATTCTTGTTGTTGTATAAACAAAGTACTGGCTTCAATAGCATCATTTGCATTTGATAATTTGGATAGTTTTGTTTACTTTTATTATTAATATCTTTATTTTTTGAAGTAGACATGCATTGGTTTTTGTTTGGTGGCCCAACCGTGGACATACAAAAAAATTGGCGGCCCATCGAAATTGCCAAAAAAATTTCGATGGCCCATCCCAAATCACTCAAGCCCACCCTAGCAGTTACTTTATGACTGGTCCCTTAGTTGTGGAAAATGGTATTAAAATAGAAACAAAATGGTATTAATGGTATTAAAACTAATAAATAAGTAATAAATTTACGTGGTGTCTTCACAAACAAAAGTATTATGTATAAAAACTGTTTACGACTTTCAGAGCTATTGGACGTCAATAGCCGCCATCATGGCTTCATTTTTCTCATAGACCGAATGACTGAACTCTGAAGTTCTTGCTCCGAATATATAGAGCTCACTGGAAAAGCCTTGCTCAAAAAGTTTCAAACCCACTTTATCGCATTTGCAAGCGCGAGCATGAAAAATCTTGAAAATACTGCCAGCTTCTCTACAATCATTTCAAGTAAAAATATGATAGATGCTCGATCGTACTTTTTAAGCCATATTACATCATTTCTAACCATGCAGCTCGAATATACGGCCGGATATGATATCCGGTGCTTCCCTTATCAAGTCACCAAAACAAAAACAAACCCCAGCTTTAAGCTTGGAGCACGACAACGCAACAAGACACCATTTCGTCGCAGTGCAGCAAAACGTAGACCCTGTAGCTTTGGTTTTAATGGGCTAACGAGTTGAAGTACAGGAGGGTTGGTCCCCCTGCCGTCTTTCTTGGTTAAGCTCTGTATTTGCCGTTGACGATCACATGCTCCAAGCTATTTCAAATCCTGGAAGTCTTCTCCTTTTGAAGATTTGTCTACCGTAGATTTGAGCATTTATAATGGAATTATTTGGACCGTATTTATAATTTCATATTTAAGTATATAGCGCAGGCTTTAACAGGAACTATGTTCAGTTCGGTTTCTTTTCCTCTATAGACCAAGAAGTATGCAGATGTAATTATTCCGAGAGGATCAGATAACACAGGTAACTAAGAATTCATGTAGTTCAACGATTTGTGTGGTTACTATATTCATTAAGAACATACATCATAAAATGTTGTTACTGTAAGCGACAATTGTTTCCACCTGTCGGTGTAAAAGAACCTCTATATCCTATATGGCGTTTTGTAATACTACATTTTTCGACGAAATCGAACTGTGTTCAAAATCTCAAATCGTTTTGGTGTAGTATAGCTACTTTGTAAAAGTTTCACAGCCTGAGACACGCTTGTTAAAATGTTCCTGGTTAAAATAAACTTATTTGTTTGAAACAACCCTAAAACGTTTTTGGAAGAACGCAACAACATCTACACAAAGAAAAATCATGATAACATTCCATCAAAATATATATTTTATGTTGTTTGTCACATCATTTTAATGAATATGTACGAAATTCTAATGCGCGAATAAGGGGGCGAATATTAAAATGACAAAGAAATTTCTCAAAAAAATTTATATTGCAGACCTCTTAGCTGTAGTAAAACCTGCTGTCATTTGCACAGCGATCCACCTAGGCATTTCTTCTTTTTTGTACCGCTTGCAAACCAAGCATCTCGGGTTTCAAAACAATAAATTTGAAAACTTACGGAATAAAATAAACGGAAAACTTTATGCACAAGCAGTTGTTGCATTAAGTTGTAAAGCACGTGACATTGTGTGACATCCTTTTGGAAAGTTTTTGGTCAGGGATGGGTAATTATTTCTTTTTTAATTGATATTTGAAGTGAGGTAAAATATAATTTTGACTTAATGGTTGGATCAGCAAAATTTTTACCCATTTCTCTTCGGTGCCACCCTCGCCATAAATAAAGAGCGGTCTCTTATAATCATCGCCTTTCCTTCATTTTTAGTGGGAATGGAGGTGATTATCAGGCACATCACTGACATTCTCAAAGGAGACGATAATGACAGAAAAATAGTACAGGTTGGAGAAAATAGCAAAAGAGTTCGACCAAGAAAACGATCTGAATCTAGTGGCATTGGTAATCGTCCCCATTGATGGAATTGTTATTATAATATGAGTTAATATTGTATAAAGAACTTAGTTTCGGTTTACTGTGAAATGATTGTGATTGGATTACTCTCTCAATTGCTATATACACGTAATTTTAACACTGTCAACCCATGTTGTGGTCGTTGATAACAAATCGTAACTATAATTTTATTTCTGTAATTGTTATCTTAAGTATAGTGATTAAGCTCCTGTTTTTATGGTCCTGCTTTGAGACGAGATGAAAAGGACGATATTAATGTGTTGAAATGAGTCACGAAGTATACTTCTATGTGTTTCACCGATATATACCTTAATTGGCATACGAGCAAATTCCAGTCAACTCACGGGCTGACTGTCTAAACAACGTGAAATTGTCGATATATGATAGCCTTTATATTGAGCATGAAATTCTTGGGGCATTTTCGACAAAACGCCGTGATAGCGAGAAAATTGACGACATGCAATTCAAGTTAATGCTCGTTCACTGAATGATTTTCAGCTTTATACACAAAGGAGCTGTATTCAGTGGCGCCGTGGGACCCATGTTTTTTGGGGGGCCAAGGGCAGTACTTTTCCGACAAACCGAAAAATTTTTCCGACAAACCAAAAACTTTCCGAACGCCAACACTTTTTAAATCTGACTCTTTTCAATACATGACAATCACGCTTTTATTCTGTCCAGGCAAAGTGGGCTCGTGCATGCACCCGTTAATTTATTCACAAGCAATATTCGGGATAATGAATTAATGTTTGATAAATTAGTTCAAAATCGACTTATTAAAAACCAATCCATAACCTGAAGACGTTGCAAAACGATAAAATATTAAACTTTCCTTATTCTATAGAATTGAAATTATATTATGAAGTTATAGAACAAAATTGGAAATCTCTCAAAATATCATGGCTTTGATATTTGCTGATTGGTTTAGTTTTTAGTTCAGTGATTGGTATCCAAGGTCTGTCATTTCATCAGGCACGGCCAGGGATTTCCAGTAAATGGACCATTTGCATTATAGACTAAATTTTGATCTAGACAAAATTTTCATCACAACTTGAAAGAGCATCACAAAATTAGTAATATTCCAAAGTTTTGTTGCGAAATGTTGTAAAATGCGGGTAATATAGCCATGCGAAGTTTGCCGTTTTTCAGTCATTTTGTATTACAAACGGCAAATTGACAGCCCAATCGGGTGTTGGGGCATCAATTTCCCGTTTGTAATACAAAATGACTGAAAATTGAAAACTTCGCAAGGCTATATTATCCGCATTTTACAACATTTCGCAACGAAACTTTGGAATATTACTAATTTTGTGATGCTCTTTCAAGCTGTGATGAAATTTTTGTCCAGATCAAAATTTAGTCTATAATGCAAATGGTCCATTGGTATCTCAACCATATATATGATATGGTATTTCGACCATGGTATTTCGATACCATGGTGGAAAGGCATATGGTATATCGACCATGGTATTTCGACCATAAATTTAAAACTTTTATCTATAAAAATAAAATTAAAAATCCCAAACGTTTCGCCGGTCAAGACTTCTACAGTGAGAACTAGTTTCCTGAAGTATAGTTTCATGCAATTCGAAATTGTTAAAAATAGGTTGAAAATATGGGTATAACGTATCCTATACATTTACCAATTAGATTAAGTACTTAGGGAGACAAACGTAGCCTGGAATGTTAGGTATAGACCCATTGCACTAACGTCACAAATCCTTAGAGTGTCCTCCAGATGCTCCCTAACAATATCTGTTTGAGTACAACAACCACATACAGCGCAAAAATTAATCATTTTAATACAAAATTGTATTATAAACTTTTACAAAATTTGCTTTATTTGCAAAAGTTATATTATGCATAGATTGCTAATTTGTCCTCCAGATGCATCGTCACCGACGCTGTGACGTCATGTGCAATGGGTCTATACTCTGGTATATTGAGCCAATACTATATCGAGTATATTGGTGTTCTGGGCCTCTGGTAATCCCCTGGCTAGGCCTGTTTCGTGCTGTTCTATTTCCAAGTTCTGTGTGTATACTGTGCGTAAATTATGTAGACATTCATAATATCAACAGTGTAATTATTTTGTATTTTAATATTGTACTTTGAGCTGGACTCTATTTATTTTAAAGATATTAAATTGACAGTAATTCAATTCATCTACTCGAACCGATTGTATGACTATAATTTCTAATTTAACCATTTTTGTGTAGTTATTCTCCTTTATGCTATTACAAACTATTTTAAATTCCCAGGAACAAATATAAAAGGTCCAAAAAAATTTTTCCCAAACCTCTTTTAGATAAAAGGGGGTTTAAAATACGTTCTTCAGAATTTGTCGACCTCAATTTTTAACAATATGCCTTAACATTTAACATGTTCCGCACCTCTGGGGAAATTAGACCCCTTCCCTGACTTTTCTGGGGGGGTTACCCCCCCTTATTGCATAGTTTATTGTTCTCAATTACAGTCGAACCTTTATTGACCGATGATTACCCTTGCCCCGTGGGGATTTCGCAAATGACTGACCGCTAAGTGCAGCCTTCCGTAGTTTGTGTACCCAAGAAAAAGTCTCCCTTCAGAAATGCGGTACAGTCCGTATGGGCTTTGTTTACATTTCGGTATCCAAAATATTGAATTTTATTCGACAACTATTTATATTTTCATGATCCTAAAATATAATAAATTATCAAGACAGAACAATCAAGCTTTGCAAGAACATAAAATGAAATAAAATCCTAAATAAACTGATTGTATAATAAAAAGGAGGCTCCTTTGTACACATGCGCAGATCGGACTGTACAGCATCTTTAACAGCTGATGGGCCCCCACGCTTGGGGGGGGGGCGGTAAAAAGGACCGTAAAATTTTTGCCAGTACATTGGGCCCAAAGGCAGGAATTGGTGAAATTGTGAAATTTGGACCCTTTTTTATTAGACACGGATGGGGAAAATTTTTTGTGACGTTTTTACTGTATTACTTGTCCTCTGTTACTTGTCGTTGTCTGGAAAAATTTTAACCCCTTTTTTAAGGAATATGGTTCGAAAAAAGTTTTACACCAACTTTTTGGGGGGAAAAATAGGGCCCCACAGCCCCCACTTAAAAATTTGACGGGGGGGGGCCTCGGGAGATTCCGTTACGCCTCTGTTATCAAAACCGGGGTAAGGGCCGAAATTAATTTGGTAAACTTTTTCTCGATTTAGTAAATTTTGAACACAAAGTTTAGTAACAAGTAACAACCGCTGGAAAAATATGGTCACTCTGATTGAATTTTGCAGAAGTGTGGCATCATGTTTAGAAGTACAAATATTGCACGAATATTTCCAATAAAACATTGTTTAAGTCTACGTGTTTTTCGTAATCAGAGATCTCTACATACCAGATTATTTGGTGACAGAACTGAACGCTTCATTCATGGAAGTTTAACTTTCGCTGGAGTGCTGGGAGGTTTTGTATGCTACCAACAGTACGGTGTCAAGTCATTGAATGAGGTGAATTGTCAAGATATTCAGTCGCCTGAACAAAACGAGGGAAACATAACGCTATATCAGTTTGCAAGCTGTCCATTTTGTAATAAAGTTCGAACATTTCTGGATTATTATGGCATGGAATACAAGATTGTTGAGGTCGACCCAATATTTAAGAAAGAGATCAAGTTTTCTGAATATAGAAAAGTTCCCATTGTTGTGATACAGGACATTCAGGTAGGTCATGTGACGTGAACTTGTTGTCCGTTCTTAGGGAGTGGTCATTATTTATGGGGAGGGGGCATTGGGAAATGTGGAAAATAAGGATTGAAAACTTTTTTGACGTCCCCTCCAGACTGAAGGCAAACTTTTTGTGCCTTCCCCCTCATAAAAGTAGAAACTTTTCTGACCCCCCCCCCAGTGTGGATTGAAAAATTAACAGCAATGAAATGTGAAATATACTGTAATTTGAGAGTTGTCAAGAAAGAGTTAATCGATGAAAACCGATCATCGGAAATTAATCCAATCAATCAATTGATGGTAATCGATGTTAATTGCTTAATTGATATACACATTGTGTAACAAACATTGTTATTTATCCAACCTAGATTAACATTTGTCAATTGATGACCAACCGATAGTCGCAAAAAGTTATGGCCGATTATTATCGATATTGATCGATTTTTGTTGATATTTACCTATTTTTATTGACAAAAACCTATATCCTAAACTGTCGCCGCATGTCGGCGTGTTTGAGCTAAATAGTAAATCTGTTCCCATTTTTCCAAGGCACACTCTTGCCATCGATTATTCATCAATTTCCAGTATCAATCGATTAATAAATATTGATTGGTATTGATTGATATTGATATACTCATGATCGATTATCAATTTCATCGATTAAGTATGCCGGGTATTATATTGTTGTGGATATTCGTCAGACATACTGGCCCCCATCTAATGTCATGGAATATGTATGTACCAAAGTCCAATTCTTATTGGCACCTTGGATGTTAGCATACCGGTAACTGCTGCCACACCATAATTTGGAATTGCAATGCTGTTGCCATGTTCCTCAGTCCACGAAGGAGAGGCTATCACCCCCCTGAAAAATTCGAAATGGCAGGCTTGCCTTATTAGGGGCGAGTGCCTCTCCATAACAGGTCCCCAGCAACCGGGGAGGGAGGGCTTCAGCCCCCCTATAATTTGTAAACTAGTGATAATCTGTAAAGTTTGAGAAGCAAATAATGACCTAATAATCGCCCTTGACTAATAAGCCCCCCCCCCAAATACAAAATTGCTTCCTACGGTAGTGCTGATAAGCAAATTGGCTGGGAACAGTACAACAGCATTGCAATTGCAAATCATTGCATGGCAGTGGTTACAGGTTTTTGGCCAAGTCAGACCTTTGTATACAATCTAGCTACTCCGTACAGTCTTTGGACCCAATGTTACACACACATACATCATATTTTTTTGGGCACTAAATTTTCCCACACCCTAACTGGCCCTTAGTTATCCTAAGAATTCTCGAAACACTGACATGTTGACCTTGAAATTCCACTCCAAGATTTGGACCCAGAGACAGTGTCTATAAGGCGAAAACTATCACAAAAAGGGAAGGGGAATGAAAATTATTTTGTAATAATTGGCGGGGGGGGGGGGTACTGAAAAATGGGGTGCACCGGATTTCAAATCCGGCCGGAATTCTGGCCGGATTTAACGAATTTTCCAGCATCCGGCTTCCGGCCGGATTTGGAGAAAATCCAATTTGGCAGCTTTAAAGTTTAAAAAAACACTTATATTATTATAAAATATGAAGTTATTAACAAAAAGATGTTTAAAAAAGGTTTAAACACGATCAAAAATCTAAACATAAACCGTCATTTTCAATACTGATTTATCCCCAATTGTCCCCATTACCAGTTTATCTCAAATCCGGCCAGAATTCCGGCCAGAATTTTTGTCCAAATCCAGTAAATCCGGTTCCGGCCGAATTTGAAAATTCCAAATCCGGTGCACCCCTACTGAAAAAGAATGGGTTGGTTAAAAATTGATGGGATGAGCAAAAAGCTTACTTTGAAGATTACTTAGCAAGACATAATACTGTATTTTGAAAGTGCCGAAAATCAAGACTTAATTTCTTGATGATTACAGAAATGTCCTATAAACCCGATCTGTGAAGAAAATGTTTTGGCGGAATGATTATATTATCAACCCAGCGTGGGCCTGGGGACTGAGTAATTAAATAGCTAAAAATGTTTATTTAATATAGTTTAGTATGGGTTTAGAAATACTTATAGTATTCTGTAAAAGTTTAAATCTTCTCTCAAAATGCAGGAAATGCCATTTCAGAGAGTCAGAGACTCCAGATTTCAAAATTTTCCGGGGGTATACCCCGGACCCCTTAGAGGTTTGTAATAGTGTGGCTTGATGCTTATACCTGTTGAAAAATAGTGATGCACGATATGGAAATTCACCAATATGGAAATTCACCGATATTCTGATCGATAACCAATGTTGAACGGCCAATATTTTGCCGATACCGATATTATATGTGACATCATTTCACAAAATTCAAAGATGACATCATGACAGTCCTACTTTAATACTTTTGAATTTAATTCAATTCATTTGTTTCTAATACTGAAAGTATCAAATGAAATGCTGCAAATGCATGCAACAAACTAGTATATTACTATGCCAGAGACTGTTTATTTGTAATAAAACTGCAACAATAACCAAACATTAATATTTAATAACAGTTTGTAATATCGGTAATATCAACCACAAAATTACCGATATTTCTATTTTATTGCCGATTCCGATACACCGATATGGATATCGGTGCATCACTATTGAAAAACCTGTTTTAGTACCAGAGTATCCCTCTCACAACTGTGGAGAACCGTGAAGTACGCCAATATTACGGTCTGGTACTTCTCTGTTTTCAGCCACGTAGGTACGCAGAACTGAGTCTTGCTGTTTGCGTACTTACTTTTTGCTGCTACCAGATGAACTTTCCAAGCCCAAGGTATTCAATACCGTAATTTACTTGGTATATTAATATCATGTGTCTGAGATGTCTTGGCATGAAACATGATTGGACTTGATGGTTTGTAATAGGATGGTTTCTCGTGAAATTTGGATAAAACAAGCACTCAAAAGCATTCAAAGACCTCAAATTTGATACTCGCTTGTGAGTCGTGCATGTTTCATTCAAGTTCCACTGGAACCATCCTATTACCTATACCAAATACAATTTGTACTCATAATATTTGGATATACTATGATTTCTTTTTTAGCTTAATGACTCGTCTCTTATCATTAGCATATTGCGATCTTATCTTCTCAAGCAAGATAGTTTGGAACAGTTGCTGAAATATTATCCACCAATCACAGTTCGAGGTTCCAATAACAAAGAAACTGTGGAGTATGCCAATCGTTATGGTATCATGTACAAACAAGATTTTAATGAAAGCAAACTTAAAGAAATAAAGTAAGGTTTTTTCAGACAACTAATAAACCAGTTTAATGTAGTGTCGACTGCGCACATAGCCGAGTATCAGCCGCAGTTTTGCCTTCCTTAAATGCGGGCTGATGAAAGGAAAGAGAGGGCCTGGTACAAATAGTTGAAGGGTCTTGTAGATGGAAATTATCGAGTGGAAATTTATATACATTTATTAGACCTAACCAGGAACAGCTGCATGCAAAAAATGCAACTATAAGTCCCAGGCCTTAAAATATCGGTCGGTCACGGACATTGTCCGACCCATTCGTGAAATTGTCCGACGAAGAGAGGAAACCACCGGACATTCTGTCCGACCAAAGTGAAACTGAGGTTTATTGTTTGTGAATTGGTGTCCGACCGAACTGTAGCTTTGTCCGACGTAAATCAAAATGTTAAATGGAAAATCAAAGTACTATTGTATAAAAGGTGAACTGGAAATGTTGTTTTAACGTAGTCAAGCGCGATGCTGCGAGCGAAATGGTGAAGTGGAAAACGGGCTTAAGTTGTCGAAGTCTTTTTTAATACTGCTGTTCTGGAAAGCAAGTTAATTTTGGCTTGGAAATAAGTATGAAAGAAACAAATTATTTAATATATTTACAACATTTACCGTTCAGAATTAATACATTGTGCTGATATTCATTTGTGTCATTCAGACTTATTTCCGAGTCAAAACTGAACTGAAGGTCATCGGACATATGTCCGATCCAAACTCAACGTCACCGGACATTTTGTCAGACGGCCCTGTAAAAGATATTTTAAGGGCTTACCTGCGGCACTGTGATTCCGGTATGATATATTTAGTACAGTAGTTTTAAGTATAAAGAGATTGTTGTTGTTGTTCAAAGGGTTTGGGGCTGTCAATTTCCCATTTGTAATCTAAAATGACTGAAAATTACACACTTCGCAAGGCTATATTTTCCGCATTTTACAACATTTCGCAACGAAACGTTGGCATATTACTAATTTTGTGATGCTCTTTCAAGCTGTGATGAAATTTTTGTTGAGATCAAAATTTAGTCTATTACGATGCAAGTGGTCAATTATAGCAGCTTCAATTTGGCCCTTTCGTTTGTCTGAACTTTACCTGCAATACCCATTGCCACTATATTCTTTTAAATCTCTATGCTTGAACGCAATATTGTTTGGTTTATTTGAGTAATTTTGGCTGACGTTGGAAGACGCTCGATCAGGCTTGACTTGATTTAAAATTTCCATCCAACGTTTTCCAATGTTGTTGGACCATGCAATGGGCGTTAAATTAAAACTGTTGGATGTTTTATCACTTGAATATTTTTCTTTAGGTTGGAACGTAAATGGCGAAAATGGGTTGATGATACTTTTGTGCACACACTATCTCCGAACATCTACAGAACCTGGCGTGAAGCGATGGAGGCATCCGAATATTTCTCGCACGTCGGCGATTTTTCAGCTACCCAGAAGTTTCTGGCGAAATACATTGGTGCTGTATTCATGTATTATATTGGCAAGAAAATGAAGAAAAAGTAGGTATTGATTGTGCTAGAAATTACTTTCTGTTATCCAATTAAAATATATCGCGTAAGGAACACTTAGCGAGACCTTGATAATTCGGGATATCACAAAAACCGAATTCAGTAACTGTTTTATTATACATTACTAACCTTTTCGAGTTATGGTGCATTTTCATTAATAACTCGGCAGATAACTCGGCAGATAACACGACTTCGGCTTCGACAATTTTCGATATCACGCACAATCTCACATCCAATACTTATTATTTCTTATAACTTGGCACTGATTCGGTTATCGAACCCCGCTACCTCGGAACTTTTTTATTTTCCTTGGCTGTTCGAGAGAGCGGTTTCTATATTGTACTCTGGGCTACACCAAGCGTTTCCGGTCCAGAGCGGATACTAGAACTTATACGGTATGTATAAAGATATCATTTCAAAAGGAGCAATCTAAAACGTTTAGACTATAATTATAATTGATCAACTTTGGCGTTGCTCTCAGGCAATATATTCGTTATATTATTATATAGACGTTTATACTCATCTGAAGTCAATATGATATCACTGACATGACCAGATGTTCGTTTCAAGTCGCTCTTTTGTGTTGTATATATGGACGAGCACAGTTTACGGTCAAGTGCAATGGGCAATTCCAGGTATAGACTAAATTTTGGTCTAGGCAAGAAGAACAAAATCCATCACCACAGCTAGAAAGAGCATGTTAAAATGGTAAAATGCGGAAAATATAGCCCTGCGAAATTTGCACCACATTTGGGCCGAAAGTGGTTCATTTTCCCCGCGCGTAATACAAATTATACAAAATTTGCAAAGTTTGTGGGGCTCTATTTTCCGCATTTTACAACATTTCGCAACCAAACAAGTTGCAATTTTACTAATCTTAACACGCTCTTTCTAGCTGTGGTGATGCATTTTGTTCTTCTTGCCTAGATCAAAATTTAGTCTATAGCTGGAATTGCCCATTGGTCTATGACTGATCGGTAGCAAAGTAATTTTGGTAATTGATGTAGCAAACTTTACAACACTTGTCTACCTCTATTTTCCAGGTATGGTTTAAAAGACGATGTACGCGAGGCCATGTACGATGAGGTCAAGGTATTCTTGAAAGCGTTGGGCAAGAGAAAGTTTCTGGGCGGAAAGCAACCAAATCTTGCAGACCTGGTAATGCATTATATATATTTAGAGTATAATATAAAATTGCAATAATTTGCCTTTGGCAGGAACCTATATTATTTTACGGAGACAATGTTTTGTTTCCTGCATGTATAGGCGTCTAGAGTGCTTTCATGCAGGATTGTATGCTGTGCCAAGCACCGGAGATTTTTCCCTGTATACAAACACTAGAACAGATACAGCTATTATGAATTATGTCCGGCAACATTTAGGTTTTAGGGGAGGGCGAGGGAGAGAGTGGAAAAGAGCAGGTGCGAATGATAAATAGCCCCTGCAGGGTCAGTCTCGCGTACCCAGAGCCACGAGATTGCTGCAGGATTGCACATTTCGCGTCCATGAGCGCGAACAATTCTGATTAGCTAATCCGCATTATATCGTTATGATAAGCCTTAGAACAGAGTAATCACGAAGTTCTTTCTAACGCGATGAGCAGAATACAGTGGGCGATTGGTCGCTGTATTCAACTGAAACAGCACAAAACAGTTCGGAATCTTTTAAAAGGAAAATGTGTTTTTGCAGTATTACCGACTGGTTATGCCAAAAGTTTCATTGATCAAGCCATATGGCTTTCCTGCAAGCGGTATTTATATTTCGACCCTCCCCTCTTCCCGCTCACTCCCGCCCTCGTATACAGCCTCATGTTCTTGAATAAGACTTTGGCTGTGGGACCTTTTATTCAAGTATTGCTAACGACATTATGATAGATATTACTCGCCTTTATAATGTACCGTCAACTCATAGAAATAATAGATATAGAATGCGTACTTCATCACGAGTCTCCCCTTTTTTCATGCGTGCCTTTTAAATCCGCCATGTTGAATTTGACTAGGGGTGAGAAGTAGTATTGTTCATTTTCGAGAACAATCTATTTAGAATGGGTGCAGTTATATTATTATATTATTAAAAATGTTATATATTAAGACCTATTTTAAATAATCACGTCTTTTTTTCCTCAAACACTTCCCAATTGAGGGTTTCGATCACAATTTCTTCTTATTTTTTAGGCAATGTTTGGAGTATTACGAGGTATCGAAGACCTAAGTACTGTGGAAGACTTGAAGAAATATACTGATATTAAACCTTGGTTTGATAGAATGAAACTTGCTGTGGAAACTCATCAAGGAGCTGGTCCTATTACTTCATGATCGCGTCCACGGAAAAGGATATTTAACAACTAAACTCTGGTGACCGAAAATCTTGTGCAAATTACATCCACCCCATGATAGACTTTCAGTGATGAGTTTGACTAAGAATTAAGCTCGTTTCAGTGATTATAGTCCTATATGACCAGGTATGACAGGTATGCAGAACCTTGTTGGTAACAACGTAAATCGAAATGGACCGATTAATCGGCCGTTTCTTAATGAATGGTGATTGACCGATTATCAACCCACAATCAACTGTGCCAATAATATAATCGGCCGTGTGCCGAGTATTTCGAAATTTTATATTTCTTAAAATAAAATCTGTAAGATTCTTTTTGTTTCTGTTCCTTTTCTGTACACCATGTGCAACTGTTTTTATTGCGAGTTGCAACCAATACTTAGAGACACACTGCATGTAATCATATACAATATCTAGAGACGTGTACCAAGCTGCACTGACGAGGCGTAGAACGTCGAAACATGCATGCATACAATGCAATACAAAAATAATAATTTAATGAACACTCCCCTAATTATGTACAAAACGAGACACTATAGTCCTAAGATAATATAAACTTGGTTTAGTAATTGAGTTTTCAATTTTTGCTTAAAAATATGTATTGTAAAGAAGTTTCTAATGAGTTCCATAAGCTAACTGTATGTGGTAATAAAAAGATCTTTGACCACTGGCGGTTTTAAACAGCGGAATATTCAGCAGCTGTGTGCTTCTGGTAGTCCGCTTACTCACATCATATAGTTTAATAAACTGACAAAACAAGTAAGATGGAGCTGGGGGGTACGCCCCCCCCCCCTTCCCTGGCAAGAGGGGGTGCAGGGGGTGCTATTTTTCATGATAAAGCAAAAAATATTAGAGACAAAATGAGGTACAGTAACTTGAGTAACAACATGATGATAAGCGAACTGTGAACAACAATCACAATTCAAATACAGTGGTCAAGCAAGACTTTGCTGTAGTCAAGCAAGTTGATGGGCGGGCGGCACACATGACCGACACACCTCGGCACCACAGTTGGCAGAGCACCAAGGAGGTAGGTAATCTTCGCGTTAATCCCTTTTCGAAACCACACCCATTTTCGTCTTTTCAAGGGCTTAGGGACCGCTCATTAATTATTGTACAGGGGGGATTGAGGAGAAACTGAGGGGGAGGCTTTAAATCTTTTAAAACCTGAAAGGGCCCGGGGCTTTGAAAAAATACAGAGAGGCAGAAGGGGGCCTTTGAAAAAAATTGCTAGTATCTTGGACAAAACTCTTGAGACCATTCCAGCCAATATTACAAAGTTATTGAACATTGACAAAACAAACTTTGTCTCCC